AAATTACTAAATTGTGTTATGTTTAGTCACTAGAAAAATTTAATATCAATTTTGGTCACTCGAATTACTGATCAGGTCACATTTAGTCACTCTTCCGTTAGTTTCCGTCCAAATCCATTAATGGAGTTGGATGGAAACTAACGGGAGAGTGACTAAATGTGACATGTTTCAGTAATTCGAGTGACTAAATGTCACATGTTTCAGTAATTCAAGTGACTGGAGTTGGCCGGAGACTAACGGGAGAGTGACTAAATGTGATCTGTTTCAGTAATTCGAGTGACCAAAATTTATATTAAAATTTTATAGTGACTAAACATGACACGATTTAGTAATCTCAGTGACCAAATGTGGCATTTACCCATTAGGAAACCCATATGAGTAACAGATGAATAGACTATTCTCTTTTTAAATTTCGTTGACCAGGAGATGTTGAAGTTGCATAGATTATTTGGATCGCGCCTACTATTATTAAGTAGGGGGAAATATAGAATGTGCGCGGGGCAATAATTCCATATTGATTCGAATCAATCCATACGCTCCCATTTTTAATAAGATTCCTGCTAGAAGCATATAAGTACTGTAATGCACTTCTCCATGGGTGTCTGCCGTCTGATAACCATGTATGAAAGGGTATAATCGACAATTTAACAGCAAAAGCAATAAGAAATACAATATAGAATAATATTTCCAGAGTCGCAGGATATGATTGACTGATGTTTCAAAATTGGATACTGACAGTTTAGACGACTTGCAATATACAAAGGATTGGAAGGAGGAAAATTCAAGAGTTTAATGACCATAATAGAGAACCAACTTTGTTCTCTGCTACTTTTTTAATTATTAATATTTGAAATTATAATCAAATTATTGTTGCATGAATTTATTATATGGATTGATATAAAATATTTGTAATCATAAAATTTATGTTAATATCATAAGATCACTCTAATTCTGATTCAGTGTCAATTTTTACCGATAAAGTTTAAAGATGAAAAAAATGGAAGTAACATAGGGGTCATTTGGAGAATATGAGTTTAAATCTACAGATTGTCAACAATCTAAAGATTCTAACTCTTCGTATTGTTGAAAACAGATTTTAAAATGTTTATTGTTTGGTAATTGTGATTGTTAACATTCAAGTAAAATAAAAAAGTTAATTTTATATTAAATAACATGTTTACCCTTAATAAAAATTAGAGTGGTTCGAGAAATATAAAAAACTTTGTTGATAAATATATTTCATGTGATAAATAAATAAATAAAAGGAAGAGAAAAATTAGGAGAGAAAAAATCTCACGAATCAAGATATAGAATGTCTCTGATTATGAGAGATTTGATATCCGCAGATTTTAGAGATTTGAAAATCTCTAAAGCTAGAAGCCACAATACAAAAAGCAACAAAAAAACATAACTTTCTACAAAATCTACGGATTCAGTGAATCCATGTCCTGAATCCTGTTCTCCAAACGACCCCTTAGTTTCAATTTTGTTATATTATTAATATAATTAATGGAGTTTATCTGATTAGTTTTGCAATTAATATTATCAAATAGAGTTTGTTTTACTGGTTAGAAACTTTGCACTATATCTAAGCCCTGGAGGTCGTGTGTGGTTGTGGAATGTAGCATGGATATGCATGTTGTCTCATAAAGGTTGTTGTGGATAGCTCCAACTTAGATGCCCTTGTTGGTCGTGGAGATGAGTCTTTTTGATAAGGAGGAGGTTCTTGAAATATCAAAGGGCCTGGCTGTGCATTATAGAAGGGTGGTTGTTCCTAGAACCCAAATTTGTAGCGTTGTTTGTGCTGTTTATCCCATGAAACCTGGGGGTAACACTAGTCGGGTATTGGTTGATACCCCTACATGTTGAAGAAGTCATTTAGATTCATGATTCAAACCTGCACAACAAAAAATGACAAAAAAAGGTAAATTAACAAACTAATCCATTTCTAATAATCTAGGTGTTTCCTACCGAATGCGCCAAATATTTGATCGTGTCGGAAACATAGATTTTGGACCTCTTTTGTCGTTTTTGGATTTGGTGGCCGTTTGGTTTGGTTTTGAATATTTTGGATGTTTTGGGGCATTTGGGCGATAGGAATATTTATTGGGTAGTTAGAGGTCATTTATCGGTTTATATATATGATGGGATTGGTGGGATAATACTCATTAAGAAATAACCTATTAATTCCTTAAACCCTACTACCTCTCTCTCTCTTCCTCTCCCTAGTCGAAATTTCCCTCTCTCCTCTTCTCCTTGTCGTCGGCCTCCTCCTCTCACAGGAGACTAACTTCTTCCTCAAGTTCCACCATATTCACCTCTTCTTTTCGAACTATTGGTCCTCGCATGGACCATAGACGTAGCCCCTTGATCCATACTTCTTTCAGTGGTATCACCGCGGGGTTCGGAAAAGATGTATGACAAATCGCAATCGTAGAAGAATCCCAGAAACACTATCAAGACATTTAGCTATTGGATTACCTTGTTGTTTGTTTGATCAAACAAATCGAAATCGTGAGAAGGGCCATAAGGTATATGAAACCTTCCAAACAATCTCGAACTCGTGGAAGAGGCCAACCGATATCGTCAATGCTCGCCACAACTAGACGCGTTCTCTAGTTGATAAGAGACTACTCAATTCTCCCGAATCCTCAAAAGAGAGATTAAGCAAAATCGTTCACAATTGAACTCTCCCTTTGAGGCCAATTTCATTCTCCTCTTGATCCACAAAGCTGAATAGTGTGATGGACTTTCCTTCTAGCAAATCCAAGCTCATGCCTTCCAACTCCTTAGCCTAATAACTCGTAATTTGATCTCGAAATGCTTTAGCTCTAACACTTGTCATTAGTCCCTCATCTTTAGCATGCTTAGTCTTGATGACCTCATCACATATCATATTTTGGATGTAACTTCTAGCAGCTGAAGTATTTAAATGGTTTGGGTAACGACTTTAATCTTTCATCTGCCAATATCAGAGAGCCACAATGATCTGACAATCTGGGAGGAAGAATTTTCACACAGGTGTGTGTCCTTGGTCAACAATTTATAGTTCAGAAAAACTCTATCAAGACATTTAGCTATTGGATTACCTTGTTGTTTGTTTGTCTAGGTGAGCCAAGAGCCAACAACCTAATGATCAGTTAACTGGAGATCATCTATCCATTTCTGACAATTGTGTGAGTTGTCTCCAAGTTCAACACTATTTGATGCCTCATTTTCATTGATTATAGCACTAAAATCACCCGCAATGAACCATGGACAAGAACACTGCACCTTATGTTTAATATAACCATGGACAAGAACACTGCACCTTATGTTTAATATCTTCATACATCAAACACTCTCTGTGTATAATTTGAAGCTTACACAAAAGTCAGAAACATTGGTTCCACACCTTGCAAACTGCCATGAACAAACTGATCACTTGCTTCAAGTACTGTGAACTTCAGTTCCTTCTTCCACAAAACCCAATACGACCAACTTGAGTAAAAGAATTGGTATCAGCCAACTACCAATTTGGAAACTTTCCATCTACAATTTTCGGGAAAAGTTAATCTGCTAACTTGAAGATTCGTTAGCAGATACTAACTGATATCCAAAATATATGAATTAATATCCAAGTACTAAAGTATCTAGAGAGCACATACTAGTATTCAAAGTTTGCTAACTGATATCCGCCATGAATCAACTATTATCCCAAATTCACAAACTAATATCTAGACAACACAAAATAGTATCCAAACAACACATAAGAGTATCCATATTAAATACTAATTGGTTGATTGTGGATATTAGTTGGTATCTGCTATTTGGATACTAGTTTGTGATGTTTTGAATACTAGTCTGTGCTATCTAGATACTTAGCTGACTTAGATATTAGTTCATACATTTTGGATATTAGTTAGTATATACTAACGAATCTTCAAATTAGCAGAATAACTTTTTTCCCCCCCAAAAGCTAGGCTGCAATTTTCTGAGTATTTTTCTTACTAATTATGGTCTCTATATTTTTTGAACAAATTATGGTCTCTATAATAGCTACAACATCCACCTTGTATCTACTAATTGCTTCTACTATTGTATGTTCCTTGCTAGGGTTACTGAACTCGCGCATATTCCATGTTAAGACTATCATTTAACGATTAACCTTTGCCTTAGGAGGCCTATCAGAACCTTTCCTAATTTTCTTTTGTTGTGCTAAAGGTGTTCTTGACAGCTCTGGAAACTCTACTGGATTTTTTGAGAGGTGAAACTACAACTGAACCAATCTCAAACTCCCCCAAAGATTGCAGGGCTGCAAACGAATTGGCACCATTTGACAGGCCTTCTACTTCTCCCTCCTGAGCTATCACAACATTCTGGAATTCCCCATCAGTTTGGAGACGCACAGCCTCAGAAGGCCAATTTCACTACTAGAGCTAACACCCTCCATTGATGAGACTATGTTAGCTATTGCAGCATTGAGCCTCGCTTCATTTCAGCGTGATCCTTCAGTTTCTGCTTATTTGCATGACTTCCAGGCAGTGTTGCCATCGCGCGATACATTCCTCCAGCTCCGCCGAGATCCAAATCCCATCATCCACTATATCCGGCTCAACTTACACCAAACTATTCTCTTCCGCAATTACGAACAAATCCGTCCAAGACCTACCTCCCTTGGCTAGTTGTAGTAACCAGAAGCCCCTCCTGAGACCGTCAAGACTCGAATTCCGATCAATCACCAGTCACCACCGGATTGGGAGATTCTCCGGGAAGAAAGGTGGGGAATTGCCTAAAGGCTTAGAGAGAGAGAGAGAGAGAGAGAGAGAGAGAGAGATCAAAACTCGGGATGGGGAAACAGCCAACTATATCCGGCTCAACTTACAACAAACTATTCTCTTCTGCATTTTTATTTCTATGTCAAATTTGGGCATTGTAATAATAATTATCAATCTTCCTGTCAGGTTTCCTTTGTAACAGCCAAAGCTTGCTGCATTCTGTCATGTAAAAAGGACAGATACATTCATTCCATGAAATATGTTGAGACCACGATTCAAAGAACCCATGCAAAAACAACAAACAAAAGATTCCCACCTAGCTACCAATATCAAAACTGTAGCTTGTAACCAATTTAAATTTATGAACAAATTCCAAAAGCGACTGACCGCGCAGGATGTACTATTGATGAATAATGAAGCCCTTCCATGATCAGTAATACTATGATGGCTCAAGGATTTGCAACCTTGGGTCAGTTAGCTTATGCTGGAACTGGTGCAGCAGCTGGTATGTAAGACTCCAGAATGAGTTGAGATTGTGAAGGGTGTGTGATCTGAACGATCAAGTATGTATACTTCCACTGCTTGTCAACTTTGTCCCTGAACATTTCAGCTGAAACCTTGCCAGCTCCATGTGGCCCCCTGATATGAAAGCTTACCTACGAGTCAATAACCAACTTCAGCTTATGAGATGTAAAACATAAGAAAAACAACAAACATTCATCATTGAGCATCACAGATTGAGGGAGGTAGTATTACCAGGACATGCTCAACGCCATCTTCGTCTGTGTATATCTTGTTTGGAATTCTCTGACGAGCAGCTCTGTTCCTGCTTTCCTGACCATAACCCGTAATAGGAGATCCAATCCTCACTCGCACCTGGGAACGAAGGGGGAAAATAACAAGTGAAATGGTCATCAGCTGAAATCACGGTTGTCACCGGATATCAAATCATGTTCTCAAGCTAATTCGTAGATGTAATGAATTTTAGCCCCTTCAACCCACCCAGTCGGCGATAAACAATAAGGTAAATTCTACTAACCTGACCATCATCTTGAATTCTCTTCAAAGCCATGTTAAAGATCTTGTACCTATAATGAAAGGACATGTCAATTTAAATCACGGAAGAAGACATGAACCGGAGGTCCCTGAAAACAGAGATACTTTAGTGCTTACTCTTTAGGTTCAAAGATCAGTTCCTTGAAAACAGCATAACCTGCAGCTGCTGCTAACCCTAGGCCTACTAGGATTACCAAAGTGTAGGAAGCGCCCTCTGTAAATGTAACAGGCTTCTCTGGGATATTGTAGGTGGGAGCATCAAAAGGATCCTCAACTGTGGACACATCTTTTTTGGTCTGACACAGTACAACATTACAATGATCAGTATGCAGACATGAATGCTTAACACGGGATTCAGTTGTTCTGCAGTGAAATGGTCTGTCTCACCTCACAAGATTGAAGCAGACATTTCTTGACCATACATATATTACAAGGAAACTAGTTCTACAATACTAACCTCTGACTGTTTCTGCTCAGCTCTCCTAGACATTCTTGATGCAAAGGATCTGGCAGAGAATCGACTACTGCTGTTTGTTGAATTTCTTTGCAGAAGTTGGCATGAACTTCTAAATCCTGCTGTGGAGGATTGTCTGCAATTCCATCTACCATGAAAAACAAGGAGTCCTGCAACACATCGTTGTAGTGAACTTATTTGCTAAACATGAATAACATAGAGAAAAACATTCCCCTTCTGAACCAAAATGGTTGGATATGCATAGCTGCCAAAAGGGTGGAATTCTAGGAGATTTGTGCATCCGCGGGTTGTATGGCACTGACAGTTTAAAAAGATAACAAAGGACTCGACTCTTGTTTGTGGAGAAACAACTTAAGGGACACAGGCAGGCAGGCAGAACTTGGATACAATAGAGGGAGAAAAAAGACACCAACTAGCAGAGGGGGATAATCCACAAGTATGACATGAAGTGACAGTGTAACTTGACTAACCATTTGCTTGACGAGAGTCCAACTGAAAAATCAACAGGAGAGAGAAATCAGCCTGAAGTTCTTGGCCACAGTTTGCGGTTAATGTAAAAAAGGGGCTCATTGCGTCACCTGAGCAATATGCGCGGCACCAGCAGTGAAATGCCTCAGAAACCCCGACTTAGAAGGCATTGGTATCTGCACAACCGTTGGTAAAATGGAAGTAAGCTGAATGTTAGCTTTACATGACCCCAGCTACGATTCTGACAAGATTGAGTAATGGACCATGCTATTGCGATGAAACGTGGATAGGGCAGTTAAGAAGAACCAGGAGCAGGACAAAAATGAGCTACAGAACTAGCATAAACTCATGACTGAACAAGGTAGGTACCATCTCTAAGAGAAAAACATAAAGAAGCACCATTACTTCTGCTTGATCCTTATACTCTCATCTCATCTTGTTTACAAAGACTGTAAAATGAAAACTAATAGCGGCACTACGCTGAGCGGACGCTAAATTCGTGAAAAAGACATAATTACAGAAGGTGGAGACTGCCAACGAAACTTGCCCCTATTGTCGGCCGGGAAATTGCAGCTTTCCCAGTAACAAGGGTCGACGATGAAAAACCAACATGAGCTAAGCACTTTTTTGCAGGGTTTGGCCCCAGGAGGGAGGACAGCCCATTCCGAGATCTCAAGAGAATGGCCGATTTCCTCACGCCTTGCATCTCCAGAAACAGGCTAACTGAAATCTTCGGCAAAGCACACCAAACACTCAGCGGCGCGAAGGAGAAGTAGGAAGGAAGGTATCCAAACTAGGAAATCGAATGCGCCCCCGACGATGGTGGAGTGGAGAGGAGAGGAGTGAGATGAACCAAAACCCTCAACTCCAACCGCACGCATAGGACTAGGAGCCAGGAAGAGAGGGGTTTTTTGCTCTGGAGGGCATCTACACAATTGGGAGCCCAGTAAGCAGACCCATAACCAAGGAATGGGCCTAATTTTCAAATGGGCCAGTAGCCTTTCTTCACAATCGGAGTCCTGCTGGCGGCGGTTCGTGAGTCGTGACGGTGGCGCTGAGTAGCGTTAGCGTAGCAAAGCCAGCAGCGAGAGAGAGAGAGAGAGAGAGTGTGTGTGTGTGTAAAACCAAAAGCTCAAAAGGCGCTACGCAGCCGGAGGAATTGAAGAAACTGAAGCGGAAGGAGAAGGTTGTTGATTGAGTACAGGGAAGCTGCAGCAACTTCCCTTTCTTTGCTTCGCCAGCCGCCTCTCTGTCCAGACTCCTCAGATAGTTAAGGTAATGTTTGGTGAAGCTATGTGGAAGAAAGAAATTCTTAGCCTGCTTGTTTGAACGAGCCAGAGCTTCTTCTACATTTCGAATTGAATCTTCCCCTTTGTTTCGCTTGTGTCCTTTCCATAATCAGATGGCAAGGTGGGATGAGATTCTGTCCCTCCCAGTACAGAACCCTCCCACGCTGGACTTCTCTGCTGGTGACCTTGTTTGGTCCAAGGTGGAAGGTTGGCGCGACAATTTAGACAGGCTTGCGCTTATACCTTATGCTAGGGTGGATGATTTTGTTAGAGGTGAATCTGCCAACAAAGATTGCCCCACTAGATTTCACGTTGAAGCAAGACGGCGTCGGCCTCCACAGGCATCTTGCAAGCAAAAGGTTGATGGCATTCTTGAGTACATACTGTAAGCTCCCGCTTCCACTTTCCCTGCTCTTTCTTAGCTGCCCCACTCCAGCATCCTGGCCTTTTATAGCTGTCTTTTTCTAATCTCATCAGGTATTGGTGTTCATTTGGTCCTGATGATCACCGAAAAGGCGGCATAGTAAGACCAAGTAGGAATACCTATGTTCCAAAGAAGAAAAATGCCGGTCGACCAAATACTAAGAGGGGTTGTACCTGCCACTTTATCGTGAAGCGCTTGATTGCTGAACCAACTGTCGCGCTAGTCATTTATAACCAAGACAAGCATATTGATAAAATGGGTCTCCCATGCCATGGCCCACAGGACAAGAAGGCGGAAGGAACGCGTGCTATGTTTGCACCATACATCTCTGAGGATCTCCGGCTTCGTGTTTGGTCTTTATTGTATGTTGGTGTATCTGTTGAGACCATTATGCAGAGGCACAATGAATCTGTGGAGAAACAAGGTGGCCCTAGCAATCGTGACCATCTCTTAACCCATAGGTATGTCCGAAGGCAGGAACGGAGCATGAGAAGATCAACATACCAACTGGATGAAGATGATGCAGTTAGTATTGGATTATGGGTTGAAAGCCACCAGAGCCATGTGTTCTTTTATGAGGACTTCTCTGATACTGACCCATTAGTGTTGGGGATTCAAACAGAGTGGCAGTTGCAGCAGATGATTCGGTTTGGAAATAAAAGACTTATGGCTTCAGATTCGAGCTTTGGACCAAATAAACTAAAGGTTTGTTTTTATCTTGTTATCCACACTAATCCTCGTGATTTTTGTGTACCAGCACATTTACATGTCTGAAAAATGAAACTAGAGAAGAATTTGAATACATCAGCAGCTGATTATGTTGTGTTTCCTATGGTTTAGCATCCTGTTCAGACTCTTCTGGTGTTCAACTCAGAAAACAAGGCTATACCAGTAGCTTGGATCATAACACCAAGATTTGCAAGTACTGCACATAAGTGGATGAGGCCACTTTATAATAGAGTCCGTTCGAAGGATCCCAACTGGATGTTAGCTGGCTTTATAGTGGATGATCCGTCGATGGATATCCTTACAATCAGGTTTGTGGATGACTTCTCATTTTAGTTTATGGGGTAGTCTATTTTCGCCTATTACCCTTGTGCACAGTATTTGTTCGAAAGTCCTCTTTTTGTACCATCAATATAACGTTACTCTGGTTTTAGGGTAGCTGGATTATAATAGCCTGAAGACTAGTTTCAATGGCCTAACTTCAATGTACAGAGGCTTCTCTTATGGATGTTGACTAGGTCCGTTAGTAACTTTTTTATTAAATGATTTCAGGAGGTTCCAAGGGGTCAAGTAGTGTCTTTTAGTTAACATCTTATTTCTAATAGGGGTGCTATGTCTTAACCTCTGAATCTTCAGGGATGTCTTTCAGTGCTCAGTATTGTTGTCCTTTTGGCGGGTACGGCATTCATGGCATAAGAACCTAGTAAAGAGGTGCACTGAGACAGAACGTGTTCAGATATCACAGCAGCTTGGGCTGATAGTGGACAAGATCCGCACAGGACCCCTAAATATGAATCCATTTGATGCATTCATGGAGGAGTTTGGTGCTTCCTCTGATTTTATCGATTACTTCAAGGCAACCTGGTATCCTAGAATAGGTTTGTCTCCCTCGTTTAGCTTTCTAGTCCTTCAAACATGAAGCATATATTTCTGTATTTCAGCTTACCTTTTGCATTTATATTGATTTTTACCTCATACTTTTACGATGGTTGATCTGGACCAAATGACTGATAGTAGCTTCTCCGATCTTTCTTTTTCTCTTTTCTATTCCGTTTTACTGGTAAAAGAAGTAAGCTGGATTGGGTTAGTGTGCCTGCTTATTGATATTAAATTTGTGGAATGTATAAATAAACCTTCAGTTTGATTTGTAACAGGACTTTGGACAACTGCACTCAGAACTATTCCACTGGCTAGTCAGGAGACAGGTGCTGCACTGGAGTTTTACCACAATCAACTGAAGGTCAGACTACTTCTGAATGAGAAAGATTCTGATGTCTATCAACGTGCCGACTGGCTGGTCGATAAACTAGGTACAAAAGTCCATTCCTACTTCTGGCTCGATGAATACTCCGAGAAGGACTACTTTGCAAGATACTGGAAAGATGAATGGATCACTGGGTTAACATCATGGCGGAAAGCATTAAAAATTCCCGACTCTGATGTCATCTTGGAGGAAGGGACATCTTGTGTGAGAGTAATCAACCAAGTAGATCGCGATAAGGTACACCTCGTGAGGAACTCGGGTTCACAATTTGCTCTTTGTGATTGCAAATGGGCAGAGATGGGCAACCTGTGTGAGCATGTATTTAAAGCTAGCAAGTTGATCCTTCAAAAAGAGAATAGGGATCTTTATCCATCTACAACAGTATCTCAGTATATCCAGGCTCTATTGGAAATGCTACATTGCCCTACCAATGATTCTTTGATTCGTGATCATGCTGTCTCCCTCTCGGTCCTTGTGCATAAGAAGTTGGATTCACTTGTTGCTCCAGATAGCCGATCAACTCCCATGGATCAACTGGTCTTGAGCAAGATCCTTCAGAAGAGGATGATGGTTGGGCCAGGTGTTGCAGAGCAATCGAGTAGTGGAAGAGAAACTGGGTGCTCTGCAATGGATGTCGATCTATCGTCACCATCACGCTGTATGGGACATTGTGAGGAGACCCATGATGTGCTTGGAGATGTAAGCTGTAACATTGTCGACGGCAGAATTGAAAGATTGTGCAATGGTATGGATCTGGACTCATCACCACCCACCAGTACCTCACCTAGGTTGCATTCTAGTGATGAGGCCAGCAACAATGGCAACTCATCAAACAGTAAGGAGATTGCCAGGAGTAACATGAAACCTATTGCAGGTGAAACTCGAGATTCGGAAGTGGATATATCCACTGATGTAATATGTGGGGAACAGGAGGATAGTCCAGTGAAATTGAAACCAGTTTCTGATGATAACCTCCAACTACAATTGAACCTACCTACTGTAGTCGCAACGGAAGAAGTGAACTCTTATGAGAAGTTTCCTTCAGCTCATGAACCGTTATTCACTACCGCCGTTACAAAAGGGGATGTTGCTGGAACAGCCAGTCCTAGCATCAAATGAGCGTGATGGAGACGTCAGAATGTGAGCTTGTGAGACTTCTTAGTTCTTCTTAGTCTAATTTATGTTTCCATAAGTGGTTGGATTAGGTATCTTCTACAGATAGATCAATCCATTTTTTGGTTGAAAGGATTCTCTGTTCCGATTTGGTATGGATGATACATGGCGCAGTTACTTGCAGTAACAAGACGGGAATCGTGCTCTTGTAATTATAGTGCAGGAAATACAATACAATCAGAAGGAGAAATTAACATGCCTTCGGGACGAGTTACAGTCTAACTCTATAAGAGTTAGTACCGTAATAACCAATCTAATCACCGTTTATTACTTTTAATCTAAATTTAACTCTATAAGAGTTAGTACCGTAATAACCAATCTAATCACCGTTTATTACTTTTAATCTAAATTTAATGGTGAGGAGTAGTGAGGGGCATATTCAGTATATAGAAAAACAATTAATTTAATAAATAAATAAATCGTTTAATTATTTTTCTTATTTTTAATATAAATTTTAGATGTAAAAATATTATTACTGAAAAATTACTACTACTAAACTTAGTAGTGATTTTGGTGGTTGTAGTTGTAGGTGTCAATCGAGCGGGTTCAGGAGGGTTCCGGCTGGGTTCAAACGGGTTGAGGGTTAGTCGGGTTGCGGGTTCATCGGGTTCGGGTTCAAACGGGCTGTGGGTTAGTCGGGTTGCGGGTTCATCGGGTTAGGGTTCAATCGGGTTGCGAGCAAATCGAGTTGCGGGTTCACCGGATTTTGGGTCGGGCGGGTTGCGGGCGAATCGGGTTTCTGGTTGTTCGGGCCAGCGCATCGAGTAACTTACCCATTACTCGTTGCCAACTTACAAATTTTATTACACTAATTTAAAATATTTTTCTCAACTTTTTAACCAATTTATTTCTACCTCGTTTATATATACTTACTTTTTTTGAAAAAAACTAGTCAATGTTAAATCAATTTGTATGACTTGCAGACTTGTTATGTAATTAATCATAATTGGTAAAGTACACTAGCTAATAGTAATGGTGATATCAATATTTGCAACCAAAAGACACCATTAATTTTTTATTTGATATTTTAGTACTAATTCAGTTGTAATTGGATTAAAGTATCTCGTTTAGTATAACCATACAAATCTAGTATTTGGCGTGTGGTATTTGGCAAAAGCAGAGTGATAAAAGGAGTTATTTCAAAATAATTCGTTGCCCAAATAACTTCAGTAAACTGTTGCCAAACTAGTTATTTGTAAAATTGTTCGAATTATCCTAAAAATTAGACCTGGCAATTGGGTCGGGTTGGATAATTTCGGGTTGAGAACTTCGGTTATGGGTCGGGTCATGTTTGGCTGACTTATTTCGGGTCAAATATTGACCCAACCCATTCGTTTCGGGTCGGGTTACAGGTCATTTCAGGTTATGAGCGTTCTCAGAAACAATATCAAACATGCTTCATATTTTCTTAAAGAACACAAATTTTCACATATGCATGACAATAATTTACCTAACACATGTCAATTAACAAATTCTCAAATACTCCCACGCTAATGAAATGAAATATAAATTGCAGAAATCGCCAAAAAACAATCACAAGATTAATACTACTACAAGAAACACATGATATTTGATTATCCTTAAACTCCAAACATGTCATTCAAATTCTTGTGATTTTTTTAAACATCTCACCAATTTTATGAGTGATTTTATCATATTTTGGAAGTAATATATTAAATGGAACGGGTCTAACGGGTCAACCCACTAACCCACCCAACCTGACCCAAAAAATCACGGGTTATCGGGTTCAAGTCATTCGGATTTTGGGTTACAAAAATTTCTAGTTTTCGGGCGGTTTCGGGTCGGGTCAACAGGTCTGGTTGTAATTTGCCAGGTCTACTAAAAATTGAACCATTAAAGATTAACTATCAAATTTAGTAAAATTATTGTGACTTCAATCATAACTTACTCAATAACATATATCCTATACACTTAGCCTTACCCCTCAACCGACAATATTAAGTTAGTATATGTTGTTGATTGTATACCCTAAACCATCAATACATTATACACTAACCACATACCCTATACCCTAACCATATGTCCTTGAGTTGTGATTTTGCTAGTATAGTTAATTTAAAAGTGAAATTCATACTTTGATTTTCAAAACATAGATAAAAAGTGATATTTGCTAGTTGCTATACCCTAACCATATATCATATACTCTACACCACATGCCTTGTACCCTAACCGTGTACCATAAACATAAATTAAAAAGGTCAGCCGTTAAAGACTTCAAATGACTTCAAGTGAACATATGTTAATAAAAAACTTAGAACCGTCAAAATCATCAATATCTTATACCCTAACCACATACACCCTAAACCATCTGTACCTTATACCCTATACCCTAACCATATACTTTATACCCTAAACAACGAACTGTCAAAGGTTACTTATCAAGTTTAGTATAATTGTTGTAACTAATTGTTAATTTATTTATTAGCCCATAAACAATTACATACATATATATTAGCCTTCAAAGCATATAAGAATAAATTTAACTAGTCTTGCCCTCCATATAAAAGTTAAAGATTCATATTTCAAAGGCTAAAATTTTGGAAAACCAAAAAATTGAAAACACCAAATTTGTTTCATTCTTTCTTTTCACAAAAAAAAAATCTAAAATTTTCCTTCTTATTTCTCCTTCCACAAATTAGAAACACTCAATTTTCCCTCCTCTTTCTCTTCCATAAAATGGAAAGAACAAAATTTCCCTCTTCCTTCCCCAACAATTTGAAAACTCAAAATTTCCCTTCTTATTTCTCTTTCATAATCAAAAGAACCAAGCTTTCCCACTTCTTTCTCTTCCCACAAATCAAAACCACCAAAATTTCCACTTGTTTCTTTTCTAAAAAATTCAAAAAACTTAATTTCCCTCTTCTTTCTCTTCCCAAAAAATTGAATACACCAAAATTTCTCTATTCTTTTAAAAACATCAAATTACCAAATACATTACTTTATTTTATTTATATTTAATTGATAATTTTATTGAATAGTGAAATTAACCAAAATTTTAATTTATATATTATATTAATATTGTCTATGATCTCAATTATTAATATTGACATTATGTTGATTTTATATTTACTTTTGTAATTTTGTTAAAGAAATTAGTGTTCAAGTGACCTTCATGTTTCAATTTTTGTAATTTTCTTAAAATACATAATATCAAGTGAGTTTCATATTTTTTAAATTCCCTATACGAAAAGAAAAAATAATTTTACTTAAGTTTAGAATGAAAAACTTTATTTTGAAAAACTATGTATTGTATATTATAATAGTTATTTAAGTAGATTAGGTGAAGTTCGGGTTGAGTCGGTCCGGTTATGGGTTAGTTGAGTTCGGGTCAATCGGGTTCGGATTAATCGGGTTGTGGGTCAGTCGGGTTACGTGTCAATTGAGTTCCGTTTAATCAGGTTGCGGGTCAGTCAGGTTGCGGGTTAGTTGGATGGCGGGTCAATCAGGTTGCGGGTCAGGTGGGTTACGGGTTGTTGACTTTTAGTCAATTCGGGTTGCGGTCGGATTACGGATCGGATTGATCGGGCGGGTTAATCGGGTCGGGCTATGTTTTGACACCTATAGTTGTAGTAGTGATTTTATATTTTCTTGTAGTGATTTAATTGTTATCAATAGTGGTTTAGAATTTTTAGATTAGTAGTAAGCATGGTTTAAAAATGCACGATTAACCGTATGTTTAGGCACGCCGAGGCGCAAGTCAATCACAAAATGCCTCGCCTAGGGGTTTTGCGCCTAATTAGATACTAGAACATGTCAATGGAGTAAGGCAACATAAAAAGTCTCTCCTAAACATTACTAGATGGAGCTCTAGAAAGTCAATATCGAAGGAGAAAATTAACATCAACTACGAAATCAATTTTCAATAGCTTAAGAACTTTGTGAGCTATTGAGCTATGATTCTATGAATTCGTGAGCTATATATGTCCTTGAAATTCAGTGTTGATTAAGTTATTAATCATTTTAACTGAAGTGAGAAAGTGTTGTAGATTGTTATTTCATTTATCATGTTGTGCAAATAGCTATTTTCTTCCAACGCCTAGGCACGCTTAGTCTACGCCTAAGCGAGCTAGGCGCTAGGCAAAGACTCAACGCTCGCCTTACGCCTAGCGCATTTTTGAACCTTGATAGTAACTGGTGAGTTTTAGATACTAATAATAACACAATCACTACTAATACGAAACTATTATAAGTGTATTCACAATTACGTGAGAGGAAACCACTACTGAAAAAACCCTACCACACAATCGCTACTATACAATTGCTACACCTGCTATATTTCATTGCTATGGAAATGAATTACCAAATGTATACAAATCTGGAAAAAAATCCAAGACCTATCTTTCTTCATCATCTCTCAAGCGCATATCACCCTCGTTGGCCACTTCACCCGCCGCCAATTTGAACGGAATCCTCCCTGGAACCAGCCACCACTGTCGAGGCGGAAGCATATTTGAGGCGTGAATGGCCTTGACGGATTCTGATTCGATGAATCTGATGGCGTCGCTCTCGATCTCTCAAAGCCGTCGCCGCTGCTTGCCTTTCTATCGCCATCGATATCTCTTCGTCTTTCGTTGTCGCCTACCTCACCATCACCATCGACGAACCGCTGTGTCTCTTTTGACGCCCGTGAGGAGATGGAGATCGAAGACAAATTCTCCTTCGCCTCTATTTTCGATGACCACGTCGCCAGTCGGAGGAGGAGAATGATAGTTGAGGGTTTGTGATGATCACACCGTTGATTGGGGGAGGAGGAAGAGAGAAGATAGCGGCAGTTAAAGGGATGGAAGGCAGACGGTTTCAAGGAATGAGGAGAGGCGGCCAATTAGTATATACTAGCGTTGGTCCCGGCCAACTAAGGGACGTGAGGTATGAAATTTGATAATGTAATAGGGTGTATAGCTTATTGTTGTATAGTTTTTTTTTTTGAAAACATGTGATAAAAATAGTGGATTTTAGCAGGAAAGAGACATGAATTATGCAACAAATCAAAAATCGGCCTTATGAACCCAAATCAAGTATCTGTTATCTTGTGAAATAATATCTTTTATGGTAATATGATGAGGTGGAGTAAGTTTTATAGAAAACGAATTCCAGAAAATCGAATAAAAAATTGCATATCCCGTCGGTTTTCGGGAAATGAGCATCTCACAATCGTTGCTAGCTTTTACTCGGCCCGTTGGCCGATTAATTTGCTTTATAAAACTTTCATCTTGTCGTCATTGTGCTTTCTGGTTTTTTTCCGGCCATGATAAAATCTAAGGAAATCAAGAACGAACAACACGATTTGGGATAGGAACCGTTGTTGTCGTATCCCTAGAAAATGGTGGTAAACACGGACTCACCTGCCAAACTGGTTTGAATTGAGATTTTTATCGGGTATCAGGGAACCATGTGATTATAAATTAGACTTGATCAAAACGGGCCAAAACTTGAAATGCAGCATGTTTGACCGACCCATGCCAAATTCTAATTATTCTTTACTTTTTAAACTTTCTATTTGAAAATAAAAAATAGTGAAAGAAAAGTGATGACTGCAATTCGCCATTTGCACATCACTTATTCGGGAATAAAACCATAGAAATTCAAAAGGAACTGAAAATGTTAGGATTGTTTTAATGTTTAAAATAACCAAATAGATCTTTCTGTTTAGTTTTTTACTAACAAATACCAAACGATTCTCTATAAAATACACTATAATTTGATTATTATGATATCAAATAATTATATAATATATATTTTAAATGATAAAAATTGGACTAATTGGGTTGGTCGAGGTTGAACCATTGAATAACTTTAAAATACATTATATTTTAGCCACTAAGATATAAAAATAATAGCATGATATATATTATGCCAGAGAAAATAGCTTGTTTTAGAATGTCAAACCAATGATGTTCATTTGTTTTACTTGATGGTCAAATCTCGTGTAGGTCAGGCCAATTCAACTCTTTTATTTTATTGTTAGCGGTTAACCCATTAGATACCATGCATTAGTTTATTGTTAAATTTTTTATTTTACGCAATAAAAAGAAGTATTGTTTTTGCCTTTTCATATATATTTTATCACCACGGAGAAATAAAAGGGCTTAATGAAAAAAATTGACACTCCTGGACCCGTTTAAATCCGCATGTGTACGGTAAGTTGGCCCGTTCCACATAGAAAAGAGAAAAAAATTGACACTCCCTATTCTACCATTCTCACAAACACTCCTTGAGCAGGGAATTTGAAATGGGGGAAGAGTTTTTTCCTCCCTGCTATTATATGTTTTTAATTTAAAAAGATACAACAAATGTACTTAGTGTAATTGGTTATGATCCTTACTTTTCCTTAAAATGGTCATGGTTCGAATCCCACTACGTGTCTTTTTAATGAATTAAAAAAAGTAATTTTGAAGACCAAAATGTCCTTCCTACTTTCACTCTCGTTGCAGGAAATTTGAAATGGGGCTCCCGTTTTTCCATTCGGCGTATTATATTACTAGCTTATAACCCGGCCTGTTGGCCGGAATATTTATATTTTCATGTTACGTTTAAATCTATCAACCGGTTTAATTTTATAGACAATACTTCAATCGAGATGATACATAAAGAATGAATATATAGGTCGAACATTTGGGGAAATATCATCATCATTTAAGAATATAAAATATAAAAATGTATCATTGATCCCATTTTATTCATGATAATTAAGTCCCTGGTAAAATGCTATCGGTTAGTTGATTGTCAAGAAAGATATATGGTATAAAAGCTCACTGAAATTCCCACACGAATCATAGATAGTTTGGAACTAAATCTTAAACCTCGCATTTCCGTAAAAGAAAAACTTAAACCTCGCAATCCTACATAAAGGTTCAATGCTCTCCTTTAATAAAAAAAGAAATGGAGAGTTCTTGATTCAAGTCAACTATATACTAACAACTCAGCTAAGAGGAGACCATCAAAACTTGAGAGCAAACACCAAAATTAGGGTTACCTCCAATATACTAATAGACTCGATCAAAGTAATAAGAAACAAAATTATACACTCCTTCACTATCAGTTCCAGTAGGTTGAATAAAGAATCAAATGACCTACTTCAGTAAATCAATCAATGATTCCTCGTTTTAAGATAGAAATAGGATGTGATAGCTACAAAAACCATAAACCTAAAGATCCAATAGTCACCACTCTCCGTTGTACAATCAAATTTTTATCCACTCTATCTTCAATTTCAAGTGGCATATGTTTCAACCAAAAATTCAATTTCTAATCCTCCTACCGCAACTCCATTTATTGAACTCCATTCTATTTGCCATGGATTGATATCGGAGTTAAAAATCTTCTACTTTCCTAGTTTAAATCCACAACAATAAAATCGTTGTGCCAAGAGATACTGGAAGATTGATTTTCAAAGGCTGTCTTGTACTGTGAAGTGAAAAGGGGTGCAAACTATTGCACGATGGAGGGGCTATCGAAGGAAGTTAGAAAGAGATAATAACAAAAATAAAAAAGTACTAAATTTAAAAATAAATTGAAAAATGCAAGGACACAACACGGTGTAATAGAATTAGCTCTTTCATGTTATCCAATTACCAATTTACCTTCAACGCAAATTAAGGAGAGAGCATTAATTTTAAAATTGAGAAAACTAAATGAAACTCAGTTATGAAAATGGCAATATCAAGCACCATAAAAATACATACGGTAGACTTAGTGGGCTTGCTAATCATGATGGGAAAGTCATCCGATTTTTAGAGTGTCACTTAGTGTATGTTTTATATTAAAAAAGATACAACAAATTTGTTTAGTGTAATTGGTTGTAATTGTAGTCTTTGTTTAAACTTTGAAGTGACTTGGGTTCAAATCCTGGTATTGACATTTTTAATATGAAATAAATAATTAATTGTAAAGACAAAAATGCCCTTCCTACTTTCACTCTCGTTGGACGAAATTTGAAATTGAGAAAAGTAGACAAAACTCTACTATATATTATTGGAGGATGTGTAGATTTTTTCCCCCCAAAGTCAGTGTTAAAGAGATAGTCACAAGAAGAAAGAAAGAAAAGCCAATTAGTATATATTACTATATTAGGGTTTGTGAGGAATGGTTTGAATTTTAACTAAATTATCCCTTATTAGATTATAACCATTGGATCAAATTTATAATTAATGGTTGAAAAACTAGTTAGCATGGTGCTAACTCTTTTAGAGGTTAGCATCTAATCCCACTCCACATGGCTTCCCCTGCATGAGCAGTTCACATTTTATTAGTTAAACGATACGAAATCGATAACAAAATGATGCTTCATAAAAGGTCTGTTAACAAAATGAGCCGTTCACATTTTATCATTTAAACCATCACAAAATAATTTTGGTGCCAATCGATAGTGAACCACGTAGAGTTGACAACGTGATTGAAAAATGCGAAGAGGAAGCATAAATAAATTAATAATTTTGGTTTGCTTGTCTTAGTGTACGTTAAAGTATTTTTTATAAAAAGTTTGTCGTTAAAATAAAGAACCAGTGAACCACTTAAACCGTTGTGGTCATCTGGTTTTATGATGAACAGTGAAAAACCGTTTGGTACATCAATAACCTTACAAGCAATGAACCGGGCCGCTATCGTAACTGGTTTGACGGTTCTACTGGTCCAACCGTTGATCCAGTATTTTATCATCCATAAATTTGTAGATCTAGTAGATCATATGAACTCATTCCTTCTGTGCAAAATTTTCAAAAACAACTTTAAAAAAACGAAGGAGATACCATATGGTATGGAGTTGCTAACGAAAGGTATAAGAAAATTCTAAAAAAATATTAAAAATGGATCTCATTTTGTAGAGCACAACGAACTTATTCTATCAGTGCAAAAAATTGAAATCTAAGTTGGAACGAAGAAGATATGTAACATCCCGAACCTTTTCCCGAGCAAGATATTGTCTACTTTGAGCCTCGACCCTCACAATTTTTGACTTGGGTGAAATTCAAGGTGACCTTCCATAAGGTCATCCATCCTTGTTGTACTCCACACTGAGCACGTTTAATTTCGAAGTTCTCAGAAGAAGATATGTAACATCCCGAACCTTTTCCTAAGCAAGATATTGTCCGCTTTGGGCCTCGACCCTCACAGTTTTTGACTTGGGGTGTAATTCAAGGTGACTTTCCATAAGGTCACCCATCCTTGTTACACTCCACACTGAGCATGTTTAATTTCAAAGTTCTCACAAGAACTCATCCAATTCACCCCAAAATGCTTCTTGTCAGTTAAGGTTGGTTTCTTACTTATGAACCATGGATCTCTCCCGTGCTTTGTCGATGTGGGATTCGCCTAATACCACTTGTAGAGGTTTGCCCCATCATCGTTCAAGAGGGACGCGAAGAGGCTCTGATACCACTTGTAACATCCTAAACCTTTTCCAGAACAAGATATTGTCCGCTTTGGGCTTCGACCCTCACAGTTTTTGACTTGGGGTGCAATTCAAGGTGACTTTCCATAGGGTCACTCATCCTTGTTGTACTCCACACTGAGCACGTTTAATTTCGGAGTTCTCAGAAGAACTCCTCCATTTCACCCCAAAACGTGTCTTGTCAGTTAAGGTCGGTTTCTTACCTATGAACCATGGATCTCTCCCGTGCTTTGTCGATGTGAGATTCACCTAAGCTGTTACAGGTTGGCCAGTTATATTTTTGTTTGTTTGTAGGCAAGCAAATC